CACTTCCTTGGGTCATTTCCTTTCTCATTGTCTCAGCACAGCAGGAGATTAAGGAGGAAGAGATTTGAGCAATGAAGTAAACTCTGGAATCCCTGAAAAACATAAATTATCAACTGATTATTGATAAATTATCACTTGACAACCAATATTAAGTGAATGTGATGGCAGTGAGGTGTAACAGCATAACTCTTTGCAAACTGATGACACATAAGCCAGTGAATGGTTTCTGACAGACACAAAGTACGTCACTGCCTGCTCATACACATCCTGATATGAATCACTGAATTGCAGTATCAGTCACTAATGGTGATTTATTTTAAGGTAAAAACTGTATCCAAAAGTGAAGTCAATATAAGCTTCCTCTTTAGAGAATAGTCCCTTAGAAACTCTAGAGAAAATAATTAGGACAAAGAATTTTTGTTGCTTTGAATCAGTATATTTGTTTTCATCCAAACCCTCTGTTTATTGTTATTTACTAATATTCCCAAAGATCTGAATTTCTTGTCCCTGTGGATCTCAATTTTGTTCTGCAACAGCTTGTGACTTATTTTCTTATGTGACTATCACATAGGAAAAGCAGACTGATTCCCAGATTTGGATTTTTGAAAGACATCAGGGGAATGGTAACTAACTGTAGACCTTTACAGCAGTGATCAAGGATCTGCACTTGAAAAAACAAAGAAGGACAAACTTTCCTTTCCCAATGGTTACTTTAAAAAAAGAGCCCACATTTTCTTCTCCTGTCAATATAATGAGTAGTATAATAATATTTTTCATTTTCATTGGAAGTTAGTTTCTTACTTTGGTCTCTCCTGAGTCTGGTACTAATGGGAAGATGTCATCAACTAGTGACCTGTGATTATGAACAGTATGTGTCCACAAAAAGGTTGGTGTCATATTTGTTAATCTCCCAGTTTTGCAAATTCTATAACTTCAACAAAGTATCAATGACATAATGGAGGAAAAAAAAGTCCCAACAATGGGTATGACCTGATTGTATTTTGGAGTATGCATGTTCTTGGACTGTTCTTACCCTGCTGCTGTGCATCACTTGGGGTACTCATGTAGATAATTGGACCAACCTGATGAGTAGCAGAGAACAGAGAAGCCTCTGACAGATAAACCAGCAGTCCAAGCTATGGTTCCTCAAATTAGATTCACTTCCCAGCCTGCCCAAGCCCACTAAACTTGTTATTTGAATGCTTCACATACTGATTTCATTGCTGGTTCATTGGATGAACATCACACCTTTGAGAACTAGACAGTGAGAACCCAGCCAGCCTGATGAATCACCCTGCGTTTCTAAGGGGCCGGGACTTGTGCTAAATAAAATCAAACCGAGTGACGCAAGTTTCAACCTGCACTACAGATCAGTCCTTGTTTTTCAGGGAACACTTCGAGCACATTAGGACTGGACATCCCCTGCTGGTGTGTTCAGTCCATAATTAGTAAATCTAATTATTGCATTCTTCCTGGTGAGAAAGGTATATTCAACACCTGCATGTCTCTGGTTCTAAACTGACAAAAATCAGTTTCTGTGTTGTTTATATCTCTGCTGGATCCTTCAGAAATCCTTCACTCCTAAATTATCACTAAAAATGTAACAAGTACAATATATATGGTATTCACCTTTTGAGCTTTTCTAATAGACTATTGTTTCTGATACTGTACTTTATTAAACACTTTACTACAAGCTACATTAGTGTGCTGGTTTTGGCTGGGATAGAGTTTATTTTCAATATGTTTTGGATCTGTGCTGGAAACACAAATGTGTTGATAACACAGAGATGTTTTAGTTTCTGCTGAGCAGAGCCCACACTGAGCCAAGGCCTTTTGTGCTCCTCACCCCACCAGCGAGGAGGCTGGGGGGGCGCAAGAAGCTGGGACACAGCTGGCACAGCTGACCCCAGCTGACCCAAGGGATATCCCAGAGCACGTGGCACCACGCTCAGTGTGCAAAGCCCGGGAAGAAGGAGGAAGGGGGCGGGACATTGAGAGTGATGATGTTTGTCTTCCCAAGTAACTGTTTCTTGGGATAGGGCCCTGCTTTCCTGGGGATGGCTGAACACCTGCCTGCCCAGGGGAAGTAGTGAATGAATCCCTTGTTTTCCTTTCTTTGTGTGCACAGCTTTTGCATTACCTCTTAAACTGGCTTTATCTCAACATGTGAGTTTCCTCGCTTTCAACCTTCTCTCCCCCATCCCACTGTGGGGGAGTGAGCGAGTGCCTACGTGGGGCCGAGTTACCAGCTGGGGTTAAACCACAACAGGCAGTACAAGGCTGCTGTTGTGTGCTAAGGAGAATGCATCTTTTCTATCCACTGCCCAGCTTTTTTAAGCTATCCTGCACTATGGAGCAATAGGAGTTCATCTCAATGCAGGAAGGGGTGGGTCACCACAGGGGTGCCCTTCTGAGAATGCTGGATGCAACTACAGCACCTGGTGGCTGAGTTAGCTGGATTTACAGGGGTTTAGTAGCCTCCAGCCATGTTACAACTGAGTCCCAAAGGTACGCTTTTTATCAGGTATGTCCCACATATTTCACTGGAAAAGATCCTTAGTCCAAGCATGCCCAGGTTTTGACTTTTCAAGCTTTGACTGAAGAAATACATAAAAACAAAACTTCAAACATGCAGGTTCTTCACCACAAAACAGCTCCAAAACACAGAATTTTATCTGCTCTAAGTACTTCAGTTCTGCCTGAAATTGCCCTGTTCCAGCCATAAACAACACCTTGCAGTATTGGTAGAAATATATAAACAAACAACCAAGCTACAGCTGTACCAGGCATAAAAGCAGAGTGGGAAGCAGAATATACATGGTGATGAAAACAAATACATTAAAAGTACAGGAAAATATGCCAGTTTGTTAAATAACAACACGAAAATGTGGATTAAGATATTAAAACATTAGTTATTTCGGAGTCTTAACTCTTTTTAAGAGTAGTAAAGCTCCACCTTGAATCAGTCTGAGTGTATTGCAATTTCCAGGCACTGTTTCTCTTGCCTGCCCAGCTCTCCCTGGGCCCGGCCACAGCAGCCATGATGAGTCGCCAGTGAAGGAGTGCAAGGGGCCAGCAGAGGCATGGGAAAGCAATTCCTAAAAATATTTTACCTCTACTTAAAAAATGGGCAGTTGGTCTCCATATTTGCCCTAAGGATTATGACACACCACGTCTATCTACCTGAAAACCTGCACTCTTTGCCCACACTGTGAGGGGCAGCCAGGACACAGAATCCATGCAATTGGTGCTCAAGAAAAAAGCTGAGGGGCCCTCAGGTGAGGAGACCCAGCGGCCTGTGGGCTCATCAGGGCTCAGCTGTACCAAAGGCTCATTAGAGCTCCTACCCTGCCCACAGAGAGCAGCCAGGTTCAGGGCAGAGAAGAGTGGCTGCTGTGGGGCCTGGTAAACAGGACTGGAAGAGCCAAAGATGGAGTGGAAGTAAAAGCTGGGGCTTCTCTGCCCAGCTCTGAGCACTTGGAGCACGTGAAGAGCATCTACGGGCAGGTGAGGAGCGGAGACCCGCGCTGGGGCGGCAGCAAGGTAGGGCTCTTACGGATGGCCTTTGTGGTGGGCAGGGACAACCCCAAAACTCTCCCTGCAGGAGGATGGTGTGTGGCACAGATGGGTTGGGTGTCTCTACTGGTTTTGCACTGAATGCCGTGCTGTGTGCCGGTGGGGAGGGGTTTCCAGGGAGCAGAGGGGCCGTGGGTTATCAGGGCGCTGCAGGGCTCTAATCTGCCCTGCGGTTGCTGTGTCTGAGGGGTCGGTGCGCGCTCAAGGGGCTCTGGTGTGTTTGGGCTGGCAGAGCCGCTTCCCCCCTTCCTTCCCTTCTGTATGGCCTTCTCAGTCAGGGAAAATAGGTGTACGTGGTGTGAGGGACTGTTTGTCCTGAAGGCTCTGCAGCCCACTGGGACGGCCAGAGTGAAGTGTCACTGCCAGGAGCTCGGTCAGTGCTGGGCAGGAGGGGCAGTGCTCGCTGTGCCGGGACAGCTGTGCTTCTGACCTGCTCAGCAAAACACCCTGGTCCTGTGTGTGCTGGATGGGTGAGGTTATCATAATAGCAGGCCCTTGGTAGAAAAGGATTAAGTTTTTCTGTAGGATTGTAAAATATAACTGGGCTTGAAGCTAGGGTTCCCTCTGGAAAAGCAGTTCTGGCTTCATAATGCCCTGAAATTAACTGACAATACAAGTTACTATCATGTGAGGAATAAATACAAAAACCAATTTAAGAAAGAGACAAGACTTAAAACTAATTCACCAAGCTCTTTAAGAAAAATCAGTGCTTCCTTTTTATTCACTCTGGGCTTTCTCTGTTCTTGTTAATTTGTGTGCCACTGCAGACCTTCTCTTTGGGACCAGAGCTGGAGTTGATTTGAATGAGCCTGACGGGCCTGAGCTCCTGCCAGCTCTAGGGAAATACAAATTCCTGCCAAGCTTGGAATTTTTACTTCTGGTTTTAGTAAATTAATGAAACTTTCTATATTGCTTCTCTCTTAACATACTGCAAAAAGGTTTTGCTTTAAAGGAATGATAAATTATATTGATGAGCAGAAAGACAAGAAACTGCATCTGTCAAGGTGGGGATCCAGCAAGTCTTTAATGATGGGAGTTTTGTGAAGCTTATTGAATACCTGAGGAAAAAATTCAGGATGCTTAACAAGAAGTTGCTAATACACTAACTTTGGGGCAAAGAGTGAATTCTTGTTGCATTCTGCCTTCCTGAGCTTCAGGTGGGGTCTACCTGCAGATTTGAACACTGGCATCTCTTCTCAGAACAGGGAAGGCTTGTCAGTGTGGCTCTTACTCATCTTAATAGTTTTCTTGACTGCACAACTAGAGAAAATAACTCTTACAGGTCTCATTGAGGAGGGTGAGTTATATGGTAAAGGACACTATTTACCCTGATATTAGTGTCTAATAGCTCATATAACTGGACAAACCACTCTTCAAACAAAACAGGCTAGGACTGAGCTGACTGCATTATGAACAGACACATCAGTATTTTTGTATTTTATTAAATTAAAACCACACAAAATATAACTGCACACAAGAACACACATCTGATATTCCAATGCCATATCTCACAAAGAAAAATCTCTGGCTGTAACTCGTCCCTTTTATTAGCAGAAATCCAATTTGCAAACACTTGTTTAACCATAAAGGCTTTAACTCATCAAAGCAAGTTGAATTCCCCTTTCTAGGAAAACAGCATAACCACACACAGACACACACACAGAGTTCAGAGGCAAGTTCTGCAGCCCTGAAGTAGACAAAACTTTCACAGCAAACTTGCCTATGTTTGCAGAATAAGTAAATTCCTATTACTTTCATAGTTTGTCATTTACAAGCAAACTTTAATATTTTTAAATACTTAAAACAAATTTCACTTTTAACAATTATTTACAAAATCTTTACTAAAGATCAACATCCTGCATAAAGGTGACCTCAAGGATATATTGTTGCTACCATGCTACAGTTTGCACAGAAGGGGTAGAAAGGCCATTGCTAGTTTTGGAAGGCTTAAACCCTTTGTTGATATAGCATAAGGACATTAACCTATGGAAGGCAGAAGAGGTCATAATTTCAGTGCAATCACCCATTCATGACTTCTTTTAAGTACATCAAGATGATGAGTCCAAAAGACTTGGGTTTCGAATTATTGACTGTTTAGTTCTTTAAGAACTGACTTCATGGGAAGTTTTCAGGCCATCACATCTGTCTTCTACTGGTGATATGAAGAAGTTGCATAGGGACCTTCCTCATCCTCCTCCTCTCTAAAAAGAAAATGATCATAAACATCAGGTCAGGAACATACCACGTCTCAACAGTAAAGCTGTAATGAAAATGGAGGTAACCAGTTTTCCTAATGGATCAAATTAAGCAAAGCCAGCCTTGCCCAACAGGAATACTTGAGTATAATACTGTTAGTTACACATCTCTGGAGTTCCTGTTATGTTTAAAGAACAGAATGCTGAAAACAAGTAAAGCTGTGTAAGTTCAAAAACATCAGAAAAAACTATTCTTGACACTACACTGCCAAATCAGTAAGAAATACTGTAAAGGATAAATAAGTGGAAAGCATACTGGAATTCCTGTACTGTTGCTTTCACCTTCTTATTTTACGAAATAAGCTTAGTTAGAGGTTTGTTTCAACCTTTCAAATGGCAGGGGTACAGATGGACCCAATGAAGCAAGAACAGGAGCTGTAGCTGGATCTGTGTCTTGCTGCTGCAAGGACATTTCTTGAGTGGGCTCACTGAGGTGTACTTCCTGTGCATCAATCACCATGGAGACTCATCACTTGGATTTTCTTAGGAAAAAACAGTTCTCCCCAAGTCTTATTGTTAATGCAGATAAAGGGAAATAGTGTTGCTATTAAAACATCCTCAGGAAAAATCAGTCTGCCTGCTGTTTACTTGATTGCCTTTAAAAAAAAAAAAAGTGGTTATGTAAACCTATTGCAGTGCAGCATCCAGTGCTAATTCAAGCATGCCAAGTTCTCCAAAGATCATTGTTTTGTACTACTGTAGCTTCAAAATTTTGTTCCTGAGAGTCTAGTCTAAAAGCTGCTGCCAATTTTAGTGTTTTGGTGAGAACAGAAAGACTTTACAGTTGCTACACTGTGAGCTTCTAAGGATTACTTTTAATATTGTATGTGCCTTCATACAAAGGTACAATTATTCCAATAGTCTAATAATGGTATAAGGTAAAAATTAAATATTTCAATATCAAATGCCCAACTGTGCTTTTGCTAATAACTTTTAAACATGATTATTTATCTACAGCTTAAATTTCATATAGTCCCCCAAAATAGAATCAGAGAGAAGAACCCTACAAACTACCCAAGCAGCTGAGTAACTTGCACTCATTTTCCCAGCAAAATTATTATCTTAAGCCGAAGGCATAATATTTCTTTTGCCTTGAAGCAATCTTTAAAAAAAAAAGAAATCTCAGTAGATGAAACTGGTAGTTATTGCAGGGATGTGTGGTTACAGTAGTATTGTGAACAGATTTTTAGCCATTCTTACAAATACATCTATTTACATTAGTGATGCTACAGAACCAGTATCAAGGATGATCTTAAGATACAGATGACATGTGTACAACATTTAAGGAGCACCTTCCTTACATAATCAATGCTGCATACAAAACTGCCATGGAACACTATCATTTGCAGATGCTTTCCATGGCACATGGCATGACAGTAAAGGAAGTGTTTAGTTGAATAACCACTAAACACTTCAGACCTGTAAGTTCTCTCAACACAACACATCTTAAAACCTTTTTCAGAACTGAAAGCTATCCACATACGAGACTTGTAAGTAAAATTCAACCATAATTACTTGGCTGAAGCTAAATACTTCAAAAAGTGTATTCTGAAGCTCTGACATATGCTCTGCTGGGGCAATGTGTTTCTAGCCACATATGCCTGGAACTTAGTTACAAGTAGCAATCTCCTGCTCATTTGTGCGAGGGTGAAGGAGAACGTCTACATTTTCAGAGCTCAGACTGTCCAGTAGGGGAGAACTTATTTTCTATGCTCTACACTGGAAATTACTTTGTACTGCTTAGTTTTGTTGCATTTCTCCTTTCAGGAGAATAAAATATGGCAGAGTTACAGCAAAATGACGTTCCTTCCAATCAAAGGCTAACAGAATCAGCCTTTCAGTCATTCTTCTTCAAATGGAATAACATACATAATGACATGGCAACAGCCAAACACTGAACTGAAATGAGCTGCAGTTGATTATAGATGCATATAGACAACTGAAGAACTGAAATACTGATATTATTTTAGCAGACATCCAAGTACAAAAGCATTGTCTAGGCTGTTTGTCCCCACTTCACTTGTGCAATGTGGACTGTGGGCTCTTGGATGTCAGCAGAGGGCAGGAGGCACTGGGGTTACAGCCAGCTTTGAGGGGCTTCTGTGTGTGTCAGGGACATAAAAACTCTATAGTAGGTTGTTATGCTTGAACTGAAGCAGTGACTGGCTGTAAGGTGCAAAACACATTTCTGACCGTGGCTTGGAATTGCTGCTGCTGCAGCTGCCAGCAAAGGTGGGCAAGAACAGCTTCCACCCTTCTGTCCCAGGCTGCAGGACTAGCCCACTGAGGTCTGCAACACTACCCCAAATCACAGTAATGGCCAGAGAATATTACTAATGTAGATCTTAGAACCATGCATAGCAAGAACAAGTCTGTTCTGACAGCTTAAAAACAAGCTGAGCTTTATATGAAATAAAATTTTATGTGGCCCACAGGCACCAACATGGCAGTGTGTATCTGCTCAATGACCAAACAATTTTCTTCACTTTCAAGATGCCTAAAATAGCGGAGTGGTAAGTCACTGCAACATTCTCCTTCAGGGAATGGAAAAGGAACAGCACAGCATTACAACACTGCAGTGCTGTGCCTTCCTGTTTGCCATCGCCACTTTGCCCAGTAGGATACAGGAGCTGAAAGAAGTCTCCTCCAAGCTGTGGTATCTACTACCCACAACCAACCACTTCTGTAAGGGCAAGCACACCTGAGTGTGAACAAATTAACACTTGGATGCTTCTAGAATGCACAGTTAAACAAGGCAGCAATCTGAGCAGTTAGTTAATAGGCTTCAACACCCTACTCTTTCCTCGGTTCAGGTCAAGGCAACTGAGCAGGTGACAGTATATGGTTCTCCTCCTGTGCTGACACCAGTTATATCGGCTCATATAACCTACAGTGATTAGAGTGGCTCTACTCAGTTACAAGGTTTTCAAAATGAGCCACTAAAAGGCAAATGCAGAAAGATGTGACCTGTCCCACAAGCACAGTATATGGCCTCAGCATTCTGGTCTTCCACAGTACCACTCTAAAATCTCAAGGACTTGCATTAGACATCTGGTGTTCAACTACCTGAGACAAAAAGCATAACCAAACTTATTTTCAGTTTTGACATCCTGAAGCATGCATTACAGCATTTGGGCTGTTATGAAGATGAAGCACCAGCCAAAGCAACTATTATGTTGCTTTTATTTCATGTGTGGATAAAACTGAGTATTCTTCCCTAATATGCAAATACATGAGTTAGCAACATATGCTACAAGCAACTATATTAATTCTTTCACCTTTCTTTTGGCCTATTATAAAAACATTGCTCAAAGCAAAAAGGTCTTATTGCTTGAGCTGCATCTTGGGTAAATATGCATGACTAGTGATTCATTAGCTAATGATTTCTTACTCAATGAAACTCTAGTAAAAGTAGTATTGCATGTAGATCTACCCATGTGCTTACATAAACTGTAGCAGTGAACAGCAGCTGGCACAAGCTGAGTGGATCACATTCTATAACTTTTAATGCTCATCTACTTGCACAGCTATTATAGCATCTAGTTTAGTATCTAGTCTAAATCTGCAACTATGTGCTCCTTAACATTTCTACCTAAAAGCAAGAGGTTTTAGCTGGAAAGTAACTGACTTTAGAGGTTAATATACTTTATTCCTTTGAGAGCACTTAAAGGAGTAACTTCAAGGGTTGTGATTAAACAATGTAATTCACCTCAAGCTGCTTTTGTAGCACAAGGCAGTTTCTGACTATAAAACAGCCTCGTGTGGTTTAATCTGAGTCAGTGCATGTATGCACATGCATTCTTGGCAATTTAAGGGAGATCAAAGTAAAGAGCAATTAAACAGATGTTGTGGTTCTCACAATCAGCCAGATCAGGCTCACTGCAGGATGAGAAGTTATGGCTCTTTAAGTTCCCAAACTGATAGTCTGCTTCTGCTTGCAGTTTCCTTAGTTTCATCTCTCTTCTGCTGGCAGTAGATTATCTTCAGGTGCTCCTTTGTTACCCTCAAACAGGCACTGAAACACGGCAGTGTTGGCTCATGTCACATTCTAAGCAGGCTTTGACAAAGCAACCCTAATACAGAAGGCCAGGGCAGCTGGAAACAGCGCTTCAACCTCATAAGCGGTTTTCACTCTAATAGAAAACTTGCATATTCATGAGCTTGCTTTACTATCATGGCTCTCCATTTTTCAAAGCCTTCCTGCTCCAAGCAAGGGACAAGAAAGGTCTGGGCAGAAGGGAGAACAGGTGCCTCCTGGGACGTGGCTGGGACACAGTATGGAATGCTGCCACCTTCCAGTCTGGGTCCAGAAATACCACTGATGGTACACAGCTGAAAAATATCTGAGGCTTTTGGCAATGGTCTCTCTCTACTCCTGCTGCCTGCAAGGACTAAACATTCCCTTTGGTCCTCTGCTCCTCCCTGACTGACTGTAAAGGAGTCTGTCCTTTCCAGCTGTGTTGGAGAGGAGAAGGCAGGGATGGCTTTTGTAGGCATGACTGAAAGCCGGATGTGGTGGGGTAGAAGGGAACATTGTGAAGACTTTGTCAGATGCAAAGGAAGCTATTTCTCCTCAGAAGCTTTGGGTAACATCCTGCTCAGCAGAGAGCCTGCAGCTCTGTACCTCGTGTGTCCTGTAGCATCCTGACCAATAAAAATCTGTGCTCTGTGCATAATTAACAAAATTCTCTGCTAAATCTGAACAGGAGGTAGGAAAGTAACTCATCCTCCTGTATACATTATTTCTTAGGAGGAAACTTGGTACCAGGCCCCCATTTCCCAAGTAGTAAGTTGTAACTTGAGTTGTAATTTAAGCAATACAGGAAATGGGTATTAGTAGCAGCAGTGCACTATTTGTTCCGTGTTGCTTTCACTGTATTGGCTCAGCTCACAGGGCAGCAAGGTCTGAGTGAACTTCCTTCTGTAAATTAGCATGTTATTTTGTTGAAGGGATGTTAAAATAATTGCCTTTCTGTGGCAGGGACTGTGGTTTCCTGTCACCCAGTTTAACTGCAAGATCAGCACCTCTAATCTGTGTTAGGTACATACATCTAATGATCTGAAAGTCAGCAGCAGCACATTTTGATAGATGCTCTACATGGCTTCCTGTGTAACAATGGAAGTGGACGAGTTCGAACAGAGAAGGTTCTGACTTCCAACAGCAACTTCCTTTCATATAATCAATTAAAAAAAAAAGGGCAACTGTGTTAACAAGATGTGAAAGCATTCCAGCCTTCTCTGAGACTATAACTCTAAACCTGTGTCCTGGCAATGGAGAGTTGTCTGTGGAGATATTTCTCAAAAAAGAAGACTTGTCCAACTGCTAAATGCAATATACTGCTCTCCTTCAAACTTTTGTCTATTGAACAAAGCTTTAAAGTTGCTGAAAGAACCCCTTAATTTAAATAAATGATGGGATTATGCTCCATAAATTTGGTCCTGAAAGGTTACTTTCTGCTGAGTGTGAAAAGTATGTGCTCTGCAGTCACACCTTTTATTGTCATGAGAAAGGCCACCTCAGCATCCCCCACTGAGGTGACTTCTGAGGAGAATAAACAGGCAGGGAGCCAGCCCAAGAGGTTGCTTGTGACCAAGCTGAGGAAGCTTGTCCCAGGGACGTGGAAAACAAACACTACTGAAGTCCACTCTTGCCCTAAGTCTTTCTGTACTCTCCATGGCATACCTACATATGTGAGGGGATAACCACTGTGGCAGACAGGACAGAAAGTACTGCTTTTTCTATGAGTGAATTTGGGGGAGCTCCTGGCTGTAGAAGAAATACTGAACAAAAGATGACATCTGCATAGGTGGATCCACAAAGGGAGGGACTGCATAGGGAAAGAAGATAGGACAGCTTAACTGAAACCACATTATGGAACATATTTACACAATAATGAGGCAATTTGGGACAGAAGAAAAATGAAATCATGCCTTGCTGTATACATTCAGCTTCCACATAGGCCTTAGCTTAGCACTCTACTGAAAACTATGGCATTGCCCTCTTACATAGCAAGGCATCTTGGAGAACACTGCCCTTCCAGCTTTTATGAAATATTATTGCTATTCTCTAAACCATGTATTGTGAGGCAGCCTTTCTAACTGCCATATCAAGGCACCTGCTAATGCTGTGCTTTCAATGTATCTGGTGCATGATAATAGCAGAGACTTGCTGCTGACAAATTAAAGCTGCAGATGCTGTCTGAGAAGCCCCACAAAGAGGGTTCAGCCTAGACTAAAACACCTTCAGGGTGAGATTAAGACGCTTAATACCAAAAGCGGCATTTACCTGACATTGTCATCTTTTAGTTTTCTGGCTGCTTGTTTGGATAACTTAATCTGCAAGTCCAATCTCTGTAGGAAATCTTTGGCAGATAATTCTTCTGGTGCAGTGGGCTGATTGTCAGGCTCTTGAGGACTGGGAGAAGAACTACTTTCTTCCTGAACTGTTACTAGTCCTTCATCACAAGAAGGGGAGCTGTCAACAGTTTCATTCTCAGGAGACTCCAGTGAATTAAGTCCATTGAACAGTAATGGTTTCTCTGATACAACAGGAATATTCAGGGTTTTCCTCAGAAATATACAGTCATTAGTGAACAGTTTATTTGCCCTCTTTATTTGTTCCATCTGAAAAAGATAGGAAAAATGTAAGTTATTAGGTTTTGGTAAAGTATAAAGTACTAACTCTCTGAAGTAGTATAATACCGTTTAGTTATAATAAATCTATAATTTCTTTGCAGTAGCAATGACTTCAGGAAAGAATCTGTTTGCATTCAAAGTGATTTTAGAGTGCATGCTCTGTTTTAGCCTTGCTAACATCCTAGCTTCTTTCACGTAGACTTGACTCCAACATATGCTTTTTCTGAAGTCTTGCACTACCTAAAGATGCTTTTCTTGAACAGTCTTCCAGTCTCTATACAGGCTCACATGAACAACCTGCCAAAGAATAAAAATTCCATTGCAAAAGTACTGCTGATTTGGATTTATATTAGAGTAAGGCTCAGAACTGCAAACCGCTGCTGCAGGTGAACCCTCTGGTAAAAGCATGCAGAATCCAAATAAGGGGTAGTGAAGTTACCTTGAGGATTCTAGGACATGGTAGTTATGAACAGTGAGCAACAGAAGTCCTGGAAGAGCAGTATATGCCTAATCCTTGTTATTCCCCCCAGCTGATGTAACACGTTCAGACTTCAGATGAAGTCCTGATTTTCAGTGAGGAGTCAGGCAGTGAAAAGAATGGAGAACTATTGAACACTTTGTAATGCACAGACCAGTGACTGCATTTGTTCAGTAAACTGAATTTGCAGCATCTTCAACAGCAATCTCATGTGTGTGAGAACGTGCCTGGTAACAGGCATCATGTATCTGTTACGTACTTTTTAGGCTACTTTTACCCAAGATTGCCTGTACTAATGAGTAGATTGTGACAGAAGCGACCTTCTTTCTCAGCACACTAATGCATAAAACTCCCTTGTTCTATACTTAATCTGAGAAGCTATTATAAATTCCATTGCTTTACAGGCAAAGGAAAGGTCCCAGTAAATGTTTATACTGTGTCCCTAGCAAAAATGTTTAAGTTCTAACTCATCAAAATTTCTCTTCTAAGTCAACAAACTAACTTCCTATTTCTCATCTTCAAGCTTTTAAAAAGCACAGAAATCTGTATCCATGATTATGTGACTTTATGCTTTAGTTATAACCTGAATTCATGATTTCATTAGTAAAAGTTCTAAGTAGGAAAAAAAAATTACCATTCTGGTCCCCTAGTGACTGTAATAAGCAGAAAATCCTCAATCACTACAGTACTGCAATGGTAAATGCCCTCTAAATAAAACTTGCTTAAAAATAAGTATAAACAGAACAGAAAAAAACCTCTTGCTTTCATTAGAACTGTTAATTATTTTTATTGAACTCCATGAAGCTAAACTAAGAATAAAGACTCTAAGTCTTGTCATAATAGGAGTCTTGCTGCTAGCATAACCACTCAGAGCTGAGTGCTCCAAGTACTAGCCACTCACTGCTTCAAAGTCTCAAGTATCTAGAGTTCAGTGCTCAGATGGTGAGAAAATTGCTCCATCCCTGTCAGTCTTAAACTCTCTTAAACTTTGGCACTACTTGGAGTCCTTCCCAACTGCAAAAGAAAAGACCACTGTTACCAGATAACTGGGTTAAACGTGCCTGTGCATTCCTCACACTGAACATACCAGCAGGGGAACCTACTGGGATCCAAGGGAACCTACTGCACTCTGCATGTCTGTGCAGATGTGAGACTGTGTGGCCACTTGAAGAACTGGAATCTGCTACTCCATGCAGTGTAGACCTGTACTGTGCACTAAAAGTATCTGCCGCAGTGCTGTTATAGATCTGGTGTCCTGCATGGATGCATTTGCTTGGGTCCTGGAAACCTGATGAAATCTTTCTCCCTAAAAGTAAATAGGAGATTCTCTCTAGAAAGGACAGGTGTATGGGAATGTAGTGAAAACAGTGCAGTAAAGGTCACCAGGAAGCAATTTCTACCCATTAAATACTAAAAAAAATTGTATTCTCTGCTTAAAGATAACCCCAACCTGTTGATGCAGATGACCAAGATGATGAAATGCTTAGATTTAATAATCCCTTTCAAAAACTGAATAGCTAACATCTGGTGACTCACAGTAAGTTACTACAAGTAAGAGAACCTCTCTACTCTTCTAGCTCTTGAAGCTTGGAAGCTGTTTTCACTTAGGCTCATGCAGTACAGGGTAAAAGTTCTCTCCCAAGCTGAGCACCATCTGAAGGGTGTAAAGGAAGTTTCAATTGACTTAGCCATGAGACCTTATAATGGCCCTAGTGTGAATGTCAACTGTCAAAATTTCTAAAAGCTGTCTGTCTGTCTGGGTGTCAAAAATCTTTAAAATGCTAGCTGGAGCTTTTGTCTAATACAATAGAGAAGCTGAAAGCTGAGATCTTTACTGCAGGGGAGTTGGAAGGTGATGCTTCAATAGCTGATAAATAATGCACTGTACTGCTATTCTCTCTCCTACTTCACTGTAACTCTACCTCTCGTTATTTCTTACTAAAGTACCACCTCATGGCATTTGGAAGACTGTGTACCTCTGCACTGAGTAACAATGAAATGGAAAGTACTTAGTTCTAAAAAGAACATCCCTCAGCCTTGAACAGGTTCATTCATACATTCAATATGTAACTCCTAAACTCAGTATGACTCCATACACTCATAGGTGAATGGAGAACAGGATTTAATAAGAGCTTTCCTTTTATTTAGTGCTAGGAATACTGAACTTAGGTCTGTTGGCTACAGACCTATCACAGTGAAAGAGCAAAAGCTATAGCACATGCTTAATACTTTAACTGAACCTGCACTAATGTATAAACTTGTGCTGAACTAAGTAATTAAAACTGCTTCTACTGACAATGAAACATAGTCCTCTTTCTTCTCCCCTCAAAAGAGACACAGCACTTGCACTGAACCACAAATATGATACCAAAGATGAATTCCCAGTGTTAATTTACCCAGAAGGAAGATATACTGAAGGCCAGTTGTAAAGATTAATAGCCAGTATCTGGGGAGAGCGTGAAGGGCAGAGCATGAGGCCAAACAAAGCACACTGATCTCTCTCCCCCAACGTGACATTTTCATCTGTCCTGCACTGTCTCTGCCATCTCATGCCAAGGCAGGCATTGGACAGGATGTCTCTTGCTACAAAGTAACTCCCAGTGAGGGAAACCACAGGGGAAACTTCTAAAAACAATGATAGTGGAGGCAATGGCAGCCAAAGATAATTCTGATGTTTCCATTACAGCAACTCCCACTGCTAGTCAAGGATACATGAGGCAGGAAGCAAATGGAATGACTCTTTAGGGGAAGTCAGTCCTTGTCATTGTGTGAACACACAATGTTCTTCATTTTGCTAAAAGCAAACACGTTTGCATACATTCCTGCCCTGGGTTGAAACCCATTAAAACAGAAACACAATGGCCAATTTCATCAAACTTGGCACTGCTCTTAGGGACATTTCATGTCAGATTAACCTTTCTCAACTGAAGTCTATAATGATGCCGCTCTGGTTTCTTAATCAGAATGCTTACCAACTCTAAACTGAATAATCAATGACATGTTGGGGAAAAAACCCAACATATATACTTTAAATGCATCATCAACAGAGCAAAAGCTTGCTAAACTCATACTATAAACAAATTTTATGGTTCATCACTTAAACCTCTTTGTACAGGTTTGATCCACAACTTCACTTTAGCTGAAAGGGAGTTGTAAATTGTTTAGAAATGCCTTTTTTTCTGGAAAACTATTTTAGCAATATGTTTATATTTTTCACTTCTGAATGAGGAATGACATGGCTAAATCATTTAGGCCAGAGACTTTATCCATTATAGAAAGTGCTGCCAAAACCAAAAAAGAAATCAAACATCCAATGTGCTGCTTTGCCTTCTCAGTGAGCAAAACTTCATTTTAACGTGGACCAGTGTAAGTCCAAGGTGTCATTAGCCCTGTTGCCAACAAGAATCAGTCAAAAGTGACGTAATCTTTCAAAAAAGGAAGAGAAACAGACTTTTCATCCATTTCACAACAAAGGCTGAATACTACTGAAGGTGATGGAAGGCTTTAGCAGATCTTGCAGACCAAGAGAAGGAAAAGAAACCGTTCCAGTCAGAGCCTATTAGTTGGGGACTGTATTGTACCTCTTCTACTATAAAAGCCCAACTGGAGGGTGCTGTTTGCAGCTGATGGGAGTGTGACACTGACTGTGTACCAGTGCCATGCTCATCAGCTGCTTGGTCCCAAGCAATTCTGCATGTTGGGACTACTGAGGATGCATATCAGTATACGGGCCCCAAACAAGCAGAGATGAAGGCAGGGTAGGTGAGCTCTGCTCTGTTGGGAATGGTAGTGCTGGTAGACCCTACTGGACTCGGTATGTCCTCGGCTGCCATAAGCCTTTCAACACTTCTCACAGAAATAAACTTTCTTTCTCCTTAGAGAGTGAGCAGAAGAGCAACACTTTGAAACCAGTGGTACTTGTGCCTCACCTCTGGCTGGGAGGCAGATCACAAGGGAAGAATGTTCAGCCCTAAAGCTACTAGAAGAAATTCTTTCCCCTTGTCACAGCCTATGTATCAAGCTCAAAATAATGATTCTTTTCAAGATAAATTTAATTTCTTTCTTAATCTGAAGTGAATGTAGTGGTGAATAGTTGCACGGGTACAGGTTTCCTGGTGGGAGCAAGTGTGTCTCATTTCCCAGGGGCCTCTGTCCCATCCCGGGATCCCGGTGCTTGTTAGTCTGGGGCCGTGTCCTGACTGGGCAGTGCGAACTTCAGCGCTTCGCCTGGCGCTGACCCCTCCGAAGCAGGCCATGAACTCAGATGTCAGCATTCCAAATACCGAAACTAAAGCCAGCGCCGTACCACGGCGAGAACACCGTTTTCTGCCCGCCGTGGGTGGGAAATGCTCTATGGGACAAAGTCGCTGTCCTGTCCCGGCTCTGGGCCCTTCCACCGCTGGGGAGCCGGGCTGCGGGGGTGCTGAGGCACCGCACGGGCTGGCCAGGGATGCTCTGCCCTCCCCATCCCTGCAAGCGCTCAAGGCCTGGCTGGATGGGGGCTCTGAGCAACCCAGTGGAAGGGCATCCCTGCCCACGGCAGGGGGGGGTTGGAACCGACACCAAACCATCCCAGCGCCGCTCCGGGCCCCGCCGCCCCTTTGTGCCGGCGCCGGCGGCGCTGCCTCCCCTTACCGTGACGCCGTACTTGAGGGCGATGCCCTGCAGCGTGTCCCCGGCGCTCAGCCGGTGCTCCACGTACCGCTCCGCCAGCGGGGCCGCCACGCTGGCCGTGCTGCCGTACGAGCGGGCCTTGGTGCGGGCGAGCCGCTGCGACAGCTCGGCCTCCGACTCGGGCCCGCCCGGCGGCTCCTGGCGCAGAGCCTCGGCCATGCTCCCGCACCGAGCTCAGCGCCCGCGGCCCCGCGCCGCCAACACGGCCATCACCCCGGGCATCGCCCCGACACCGACACCGACACCGGCCCGGCGGCACCGCAGGACACGGCCCCGGCCGAGGCCCCGGCGCGGCCCCGCAGCCCCGCCCGGCGGGGAGAGGCCGCATGCGCGGGGCAGCGCCCGCCCAGCGCCCGCCGGGCCGGTCGGGCCGCAGAGTCCTCAGCCCAGGACAGCCCCCTCACGATCGCTGCCCTCGCCCCGCTCCGCCCGTCCGGGCGGAGCGGGGCGAGGGCAGCGATCGTGAGGGGCTGTCCTGGGCTGGGGAGTCTGCGTCGCTCTGTAGAAACCGCGCAGACAGGCACCGTTCCCCGCGGCCCGGAGCTCAGACCCGCTGGAGTCTCGGTAATGCGGCTTTTTGCCGTCGAGTCTCTGAGATGCGAAGAGTGTCCAACCCGACCTTCCACTAGACCGGGTTGCTCGGAGCCCCGTCCAACCTGGCCTTGGACAGCTCCAGGGATGGGGCGCAACTTCCCTGGGCAACCTGTTCCAGTGCCTCCCCACCCTGCACCCGCCCGTGCCTCACCCACCACCACAGTAAAGAATTTTTTTCCTAATACGTAAGACAAACCTACTCTCTTTCAATTTGAACACGTTCCCCCTTGTCCTGTCACGACGTGATCTTGCCCCGTCTTTCCTTTTGTTACATCATCTTGGCCCCATCTTTCCTGTAAGTTCCCTTCAGGTATTGGAATACCATTTTATATTAAAATTAATATAATGACAGTGTTTTAAGTGGGTACTTCCCACCAAGAAACCTGGGTAAGTCGTCTTGGAAAGCTGATCCATTATTGCTGAACTGGAGCTTTCTAACAAAAACTCTGTGTTGCATATAAATGGTTGCACATTTGTGCATCCTGTACAGGCACGATATGTATCAAAATACCAAGGAGTGTCCAAAATAACCTGCTCTGCAGGCCTGTGTTTGGTGCTATTGAACAAGATACTCCTCAAACTTCCAAACTCAGCCAGGCTAGGATTCTGGGAAGTGTGTGGGCCAAACACCTACTGTGGTGTAATTTTTATTTTTTTTCTGGGAAGTCCTAGAAGGATAGACCTCTATCTTAAACCTGTCAAAAAAGATATGCATGTCATAACCTCAGCATTCCTCAGCACAGTATGTATTCACAGAAGTGTTTCCAAAAATAAAATGCTTCAACTGACATAATATCTAGTTGTGGGTTTTTTAGATTATGTTCTGGGGGTGACTCATGGAGTCTCTTTAAGGAATACAGTGCAAAAATCCAGGAAGATCTCACAAACGTTTCTACTCTGGCCACAAGTTTCCAGGCATAAATTAGGAAAATGCAAAAGCTGTCCTGCAAGATGCACGAGTTGCTGATAAGGAATGACACATCAAAACCCCATTGTCACATGAGAAGCCAATGTGACAGTCCTGAACAGAGGAACTGCAGGCAATGCATAGACAGATCAGGGAAGTACAAGAGACTCTATAAACTGATGGCAAGAAAAGGTTCACTTTAATTTTTGTGCAGTCTACAATATATTTGGGAAGTTGGAGGCTCCCCTAGGGATGTACAATTGAGTTTATACCAACTCTAGAAAGAGAACACCCAGCTGTGACACTTCAGTGCTTTCAATTCCTCGTGAAACAACTTGATCTGCTGAACTGGATCAGCAATTCAGCCGTGACCCACCTAGCAAAAGAGCTGAGCTGCAGGTCAGCATTTATTAAAAATGTCTACTGTGTGTGCAGTGTGGAGCCATGGATCAGCTTCAGCCTCTTATGGCTGATTAATGGAAGTTGCAAGCATCTGGATGCCTGCCTAGAGCTGGAATAACTCAGAGGAGTTTCTTCAGCTAAAGTGGCTTTTAGTAAAGGGGAGCTGCAGTTCAATAAATTGGAAATGTTGTGTAACATTAGTGATACAATGAGTTGAACATGCAATATCAATTAGTTTGAAAATGTGCTTGAAAGGTGCACTAATATTAGACAGTATTATTCCCTCTAATGTTATCTTAAACTCTATTTGTATGCCAAGTGTGTGCAATACACTTTAAATCAGCTGTCACAACTCCGAGAACAGCAGAAGCACCCCTTGCATTAGTATAAAGATACCATGGATATTTTAATGATGAAAGATTTATTTTAGTAATAAACCTTTTCAAGGATATATGAGGTTTTTTCTTCTGGACTTGCTGGATTGTCTTTTCCTTGCATCAGCAAATTGTGGAGATGCTTGTTTCTTATCTCAAAATCCGTAATTATAGCCAGAGAAACATTTCGATCTGGGATGTTGCCAAGATACTTGATCTGATTAGCTGTCTGCCTTTTTTCTACATGAAGTGAATACCCTCTAAACAAAAAATTGAGTTAGAAATTTGAGCCAGAACTTACGTTAGGTAACCCATCTTTTACCTGTATCTTTAATATGCATTTAAAATTAATTACAGAAGAAACTAGAAGTGTCTCGCTAATTACACTTTATTTTTAAGGAAGAAAATTGTGTTACCATTGAAAATGTGGTGTCTGGGCTACTGAAATATCTTCATGGATTGGTCTGTGAAATAGTAGCTTCCCTGGGGCCCTGAGTTGTGAGTTGTCTGCCCCTGTCTGATCTTGGTAGAAGCTGGAGCTCACTTGCTTCACAATGTCCCACTAAAAGGGCTGGAGTTGGTATGGTGCGAACTGGCATTGTGCCAACACTGCCAGCTGGTTGGGCTGCTCCCTGACTGACTCCAGACCAGTGAACAAGCTCCTCTGGCAGCCCCCAGGAGGGAAGGACTTGCAGTGCTTACCTACCCCTCAAGGTGTGAGCGTTCAGTGTCACCACGTCAAACTTGCCACATTAGAAAGAGTCCCTGCTATATCTGGGATTCTCAGTTCCCCAGAGCAATATTCCCCCTCCTGATCTCTGAATCAGCAGCTTATTGTCATATGTGGGTATTTCCAGATATGCATGGCAATTAGTTTGAATTTATTGGTTTAATGTCTGATAATCACCTTCTCTGTTCAGGGAGTCTCTTGGCACTACTGACTCCCCTTCCTCTCTCCTTGTTCTTTTCTTTCATTGCTATTTCCTTATTACTGCATCTGTGACCTCTTTCCCCACAGTAGCTTCCAGTTTCAAGAAGTTATAGTTGCCCAAACCTGTTTCTTGCTTCAAAATCAGTAATGCAAACATTGAAGTCATGTAACTGAGGGTTGGATTTGACACTCTCATCAGGCTCACGTGGGATGGAGGAGTTCACTCCTCTGAGTCATTGTCCCAAGGGTGGCTGCAGACGTTTTAGCATCTGTTACTCACTTCAGTTTGGGAGGTTATCACTGCAACTCTAGCAGCTAGAAACATACTTTTAGAAATGAAAGCTTTAATCTCATAAAACTCCACTAAGCTTTATGGAGTGCTTGCCTGACCCAAGGGTTCCTTAGAGCTGGATCTGAAGAAGAGAAAGTCCCTTCCTGCATTTTTTTTTTCCTTCAGGACATGTTCAGACCTAGATAATACTAGTTTTACATTCTTTCATAGAATCATTGTACAGGAATTGGATAATGACAGAAATTATGTATGGGAGCTAATATTATCATATTTACTCATGCAGCAGTAGTTAAAGGTATTTCTAATTAATTGTTCAGTTCAGGAACTGTCACTGCCTCTTCTGTCTTTCTGAACTTGTTCTGAGGATGAGAGCTTTCTTTTCAGTAATGTTGTGTGATAAATCTTCTGAATAACCAACAGTATTTGAGTCTGGGCTACTTCTAGTTAGTACTGGATATCTAGCTGCCATTTTATCATTGAAAATCATTCATATCTAGATCAGTAAGTGCACCGTGATCTTGATTTATTTTAGATATTATACGGTCAACAGGCTACAGTCTAATCTTCTAAAATAGAGATCAGTATCAACTCAGTCTGGTTAAGGTGACCATATGATTTAGTGGCAAAGTAGAGAAGAAATGCCTTCTGGCTAAGTAATCATTCTGTTAATGGTCACAGCTATTCACCTACTTTGCCAGTAAAGAAACTCAAACTTGCTTAGTAAAGGATTAAATTAAAGAGCCAGCATTTCCTAACTTTGATGTTTATGATGATGCACACCAGGGACATTACCATTTATAATAGTTGTACTGATGTAGAACAGGGATGTTTTAATTTCAGGAACAATAAAAAAAGCTATCCTTGTGAGCTATATGTGTGGGCAGATTTGAACTAATTAGGACAGAACAGGGAAAGAGAAGGCTACCCTCTGGTCATGAGCCGTGCATCAAGCTAAAACATCCAGCTCTTCTCATGTTGCAACCTCTGACAAAAAAAAGAAGATGTAATGTAGGACAAAGATCAGAGACAAATCTTGCCTTTTAAGAATAATAGCCCTGGGTTCCTCAATTAATTGCAGCAAAGAGAGAGGGTCTTGCATGAATTTCAAATGGAAAGTAGGATCATCTGAACTGATGAACGTTCCTTAAGCTGTGCACACCTTCTTCATCAAAATAAGCCCATTATGTAGCAGGAGCAGCTGGGAGCCATTATTAATATTTAATGCTCCTATCAGGGGTTACTGTGGGTTTCTGTATTAAGGTTACAAGACAATGTTGCAATATCATATGCTGTGGGTTTGCATTCTCAGAGCTTTTTTGGCTTTGTGTAAAGCACCAGTGTAGTTTTATTTATTCCTCTTCCCTACCATTTCCAAAGGCTGAATATTTTTCTAATCTGGACTGTAGTGCATGATTATCCTTTCTTGATTGCCTCCAGTTTTACTTATACATCACCTGCTGACTTGGTAACGTGTGTTGCAAGTCCCATCCTGGTAGGAGCAATCTTGCGCAGGAAAGGATGGAACTAGCTTGGGTCTCATAGCAAGGGCAGGCTTGTGCTACCATAGGTGTGCTCTGTTTCCTCCAACCGTGTGGTTTTTGGTGTGACCTCCTGGAGAGTGATGATACCAGTCAGCCTCTTTTTCCTAACTACATCTTTTGACTGATACTTGTTTTCTACCTGTGCGTGTTGTATGGGCAGGCAGTTCTTGAGCAATTCATAGTTGTTTTCACTGAAAATAGGTGGGCTGAATATGCAAGATGGAATCACCACGTTCTGCACATCTGCATCTGAGGGGCACTGTCCGTGGATGTGTTGGACTTTGG